CACAATATCAGCTCTTTGCAGCATTTGTACAGACAGCATGCTAACGCAAAGCTAGCCAAGAACCCAGAATGTTGTTAAAGCTGAGTGTTTACTCCAGCGCAGCAGCCAGAGTCTGATTTTCCACAGGTAACAAAATCAATGACAAAGTTTGTAGTCAGGCTTGTAGGCTCCATTTCTACCCGTACATCTCAGCTGGATTTTAACTTTAACTCAGCATTGTCGGCAAGTATTTCAGCTCATTTGCAGTAACGTGAAAGTAATGTAATGAGTAGACTAATAAATTACTTTCTTTGTTGAGTAATTAAGAAAAATAGTGCATTACTTTTAAGAAACATAATGAGTAATGTGTATTATGTGTATAACTTTTTCTTTTTTAACTCATCCAATTTGTCTGCATTGAAAATCAGTTAAATATGTAATTAAACTGAAGCAGAGTTTCAAATTTAGACTTTGAAGTGGGCATGATACACTCATCAGGACCTTGTCACAATCAGTCACCTTGACTTAAAGTTAGTGCTGTCAGGGTTAATCTCGTTAAAATGACGTTAACGCTATAACTGCATTAACGCAGCAAATCTCCGTTAGCGAGTTAATGCGGATAACCCCCGTGCGTGGGGGCATGATCTGATATCGTCGTGTTGGTGTTGTTCACAGATCATCATACTAAATGTTGTTCCAGGATCAACATTGCAAGTGACCAATCAGAATGTTGCGACGTCATACTTTTGCGACTTCGGGAAAAACTGCCGTAAAACAAAAAACTATACTTAAGCTGCGAGAAACCGCTTCTGTCCGCCGATCAACGGACCTTAACCGTAACCGTAACCCTTTAATAGATGGTAAGCAGAACGGAGATTGTCCTTGCAACATAGGAATTTCATAAATGCACGAATGGCTTGGCGCGCAAAAGAATAATGTCACAACAATGTGATTGGTCACTTGCAATGTTGATCCTGGATGAACATTTTCATGATGATCTGGGAACAACACCAACACAACAATATCGGATCATCCGTGCGTGGGGCTGCATGGCGTCAACGTGTTAGCGCAGTCAGTTCGTTGACACATTAGTGCCGTCCAGCCCCATGCACGGGGCGATCCGCGCTAACTCGCTAACGGTGATTTGCCACGTTAATGCGGTTATGGCATTAACGTCATTTTAACGACATTAACGCTGACAGCACTACTTAAAATATGTTTGTACTTGAGGAAATTAAAAGAATGCATCAGTAAAAGTTCTCTCAAAGGGAGGCCGTCTCAGAAGATGAGTTGCAGCTCTAAACCACTTGGAGAAATAAGGCCAGATGCTTGGGGTGGGTTAAGATGTGCCAGCATGTCACAGCATAAAATTAAAGGAAAAAAAAAAAAAAAGTATATATAACCATGCATAAAAGGACATATAAAGGAGACAGAACGACACTAAAGTAAATCCACAGTGAAATTTTGTAGTAGGAATGTTTGGAATCTGGGTGTGCTTGGCTACACTAGGAGTCCTGCACCAAATCAGTTCCATGCAGACCAAGGAGAAGTCTCTCTCAAGCCATACACCTCATACTTGTGGAAAGGGATTGCTACTGCAGCAGGATAATGAGCCCAAATGCCCCAAATCGCTTTGCTTCACTACTTGAAGACCAAAGAAAACTAGAGAGTGCCGACCATTACGGACTTTTTTCCACATTCACCTGAACTCAACTCCACTTAACGTTTTCAGCGATGCCTGAAAACTGGGAAAGCCAAGCACTCCTGACATCAGAGAAGCTTCTGGAACATTGCAAAAGAATGCTAGCCTAACATGAACGTATTCAGTGAAATTGAATGCCTACCGGGTTGATGCTTTCAACCAGTAAAAGCCAAAAGGTGGACACACCAAACACCATCATCATACTGTGAAAATGCATGTGCATTTTCCAAAGATTTCCTTTTTTACCTATGATGCTAATATTAGTACAACTTGCAAATTGCAAAGAAACAAGCTTTGAGAAGGACTGAAATAAAAGTAAAACCGATACCATACTGTATTTCTAAATCACAAAAACAAAAAAAGCAAAGCAAAACATCTTCACATCCACGAACAAGTCAGTGCATCTTTGTACTAGAGTAAAAATGTTGGTAGTGTAAGTTAGTTGTATCCCTCGGAGTATAAGTGCACACTTATAATAAACAACATGATTTCTACCATTTTACTGGTTATTTTAGGAACGTGGAAGCATGGAATAACAACAGTGTGCAATACACTTACACTTATTCGTCATTTGATTACTAATTTAAATTACTGTGTTGTGTTGTGATGTGTCGTGTTGTGTTGTATGTAGTGCCGACGTGGGACAGTTTTCCAATTTCATTGTACTATTGTACTATGTATGACT